GATCTCAAATCTAGAAGCCTGAAAGGACAGCAGCGGGGGAGGGGGTGTGGGAAGAAGGAGAAAGAGACCAGCCCCCTACCCACAGACACCACCACCTGCCAGATGGGGCCCATGCCACAAGCCTACTTACTTTGACTCCCAAATCTCCAGCTGCTCCTTGAATAGTTCCCTAGCCCCCCAGGCCCCACCTATCCTTACAGCATGAAAACCTATATGATCTATAAGATCTGAGTCCTCTGAAGTCCCCTCAGTGCCCCAAGGCACTAGAAGATCCAGCCTCAGATTTCTATTAACCACCCTCAGAGTTCTCTCTGGAATCATACTGGAATGTGGAGGGTGTGACAGCATCTTGGCATCTCGAGATGGGAATCCTTCCTACCCACCCTTCCATGCCAGGCAGGCCTGGCCTATGACTAAAGCTTTGGAGAGGAGGAAAAGCTGAGTCAGGGGTCCCCCATGATCACCTGTGTATATGTGGCAGGGAGTGGAAGTAGGTTGGCAGGGAAGCCTTGGGCCAAGGAAGGCCCCTCAAGGTTGTCTGAGACCCAGAAGAGCAGAGGGATAGTGTGGGAAAGGTTACAGCTGGAAGGCATGCTTCATCCAAAGACCCAAGTTTTGGGTCCCCACTTCCTAGGCCCACTGCTCAGATGTGCCCAGGGCCCTGGCAGGACAGTGAAATATCCAATAGATTAGTCCTCTGCCAGTCCTGCCTCCAAAAGGCTTTGGGCAAGACCCTCATCTTTCTGAGTCTCAGTCTCCTCATCTGTGATATGGGCATGAGCACAGGTTCTGAGGTCAAGGTAACAATGTGGATAAGGGCCTGGCCTGGGTTCATTGAGGGGAGGTCCACCATGAGCCTGGTGGGGTCCCCCATCACAGTTAAGCTGGACTCCAGGGAGTGAGGGAGGAAGGTGGCCCAGTGTCTCTCTGTCCTCAAGGAGCTGATACCCCATGTGGGTAGGTACAGTCTAAGCTAGTGGTACAACCCAGAGGCCTCCAGAAGCTGTGGAAAGCTCTGAGGAAAGCATGCACTGATGAGGGGACACACGAGCAAAGCAGATAGGAAGACGCTCAGCCTGTGGGAGCAATACAAAAAGATGGGGGGGGGGCGTCAGGCTGCCCATTTACGATAGCTGCCACTGCGGCCACCCGCAGAACCCTCTCTGCCCAACAGAGGCTACAGCCTCTCACATGAATTCTCACCACCAGCCTCTTAGGCAGATTCTATTATCTCAGGGAAACTGAGGCAAAGTCATCCCAATAAGAGGGGCAGCTTGGGAGGTCAATGCTTGAGTCTGCTGGGCCTACACCTAACATCCAGCAAGTCTCTGAACTGCCTCCTCCCAGGAGCTGGCAGGGTCCACCCGTACACGTCTGAGGTGCCAAAAGCTGGCAGTGCCCACCTGCACGCAGGCAGAAGGGAAAAGGAGGCACAGAGTGTAGAAGTGCTCACTCCACTTGTGAGTCAGTCTCTCCTTGGGGACCCCAGTGCGACTGAGAATCCAGAGTGAGACTAGCCCACAGATTATGAGGGGCCTCATCTTAAAACGGCTCCCCCTGCCCCCGTCTTCCCAGGGGCTAGTGGGACATAGCTGGCTAGGAGGAGGTGCCCAATAAGGGTGGGGCACAGAAGAGACAGCAGCCAAGGGTCTCTCTCTCCCCAAATCCTCCACACCAGGAGGGATGTGAGCACTTGGCAGCTCTGCCTGCCAGTGGTGGTGGCGACAGGCCGCGAAGCCTCGACCCCCCCCCACTTCAAGAGCTGCGGCAGGTCGTTGGGGAGATGGGGGACCCAGATGTGTGATGTTGCCTCCCTCTAATAGGGAGAGTCACAGGGAGGTGAAGGCACGGGCTCAGAGGCCCAGACAGACACACGTCACCCACCATTAACCGTAGCTAGACTGACGCATGCCCCGTCGTGGGCACTCAGGAAAAGGAGCACGTACTCCAGCTGTCATTAATCTGCTGGGTGGGTCCAGACCCCTCAGGCCGCTCTCAGTTCCCCACCCACCCACTGCCAGAGAAAGGGAGGTGCTGGCCAGCAACATCACTGGGGCAGAGTGGGGCTAAGAGGGTGCCGCCAGCCAAGCAGCTCAGCCTGGCGCTCCACCCAGCACGCAGCCAGTGCCCCACAGAGCAGGGGACAGAGAAACCCAGGGATGCTGAAGAACAGGGGACAAAGGTCCCACAAAAGAGGTGGGCAGGGCAGGGTGGGGCACCAAGCAATGAGAGGGATGGGAAGGAAGCGGAGAAGGAGTGGAGGTGGGGGGGGGGGACCCAAGAAGGGGCCCAGGAGGGGCCAGGAGACAGCGGGAGAGAGATGCAGGGAGAGGCAAAGCAGTTGCCCTCGGCAGCAGTGGCCAGTCACCATTCACCATTCCTGGCCATGGGTGAGCGGAATTGAAAACAGGGAAGCAGGTGAAAGGGAGAGTGTGCTCTGACTCCTTCTCCCCCAACTCCACCTCCAAACACACGAGTGCACGTGTGCACAGACATGTACTCATATGTGTGGTCTCCTCCAGGTGGGGTGAGGGAGGCCACCGCCCCCACCTCCGCCACCAAAACCAAAGCCCTGTCCCCACTCCAGTGGCAACTCCTCTGTCCTCTGATACAGCAGCAGTGTCTGTCCACTTTGCCTGATGGGCAGAGGGCCACTGCCACAGCAATTACAGAAATAATGGCCACCGGACCTCAAACCCACACTAGCTTAAAACACAGAGGCCTGAGGACCTGAGCCCCGTCGCTCTGCCAGACACTCATGAGGAAATGACTTTCCTGCCTAGGGCCCTCTCCACTGAGGGGTTATCACCTCGGTGCCAGGACACCGAGGCCCCTATTACCCATCTCCAAAAGCCACCTGTATCAAAGCCTCATCCTAGCCTGGCCGCGCTGACCCAGGAGAGTTCAGGGAGGCCATCCACCCCCAAGCAGCCCCACGGCAGCCGCCTCAGCCTTTCATGTCAGTTCAACAAAAGCCCCCACCAGCTAGCCATGGTCATGCAGGGCCCCTCACTCGATTCCCTCCCCTTCCTCCCTCCAAGGATCAATGGGCATCCGCATCTGCGGGACCAGGGCAGCTGAAGGGCGCTGGCTGTCACGGTAAATCCTGTGTGTTGTCGTCACATTAGTCACTTCCCTCTGGACCCTCAGAGCCGCGCAGTCCCCACCCCACCCCCACTCTCATTCTCTAATTATGGTTTGCAAGACATGTCCCAAACCCTCAAATTAGCTCCAACTCTATCAACAACAGAAGAGTGTCCAGCTGGAAATGTGCCGCTGCCATCACACCCGCCTCATCGTCTTCTTGTTGGGGACAAAGTGACAGGTGTCCACTCTGGTCAGGGTCTCACACTGTCCTTCCAACGGAGACCCATGTAAGCCAGGCAGCCATCTGACCCACTGCAGATTGCAAGGAGACGGGGCAAGGTGGGAAGAGGTGAAAAGAGATGTCTATTTAAACCTTCATTCAAGGAGCTACAAAATGGCTAGGGAAATAATATTGTGGCTTGGCTTTAAGGAAAAAAGAACAACAAAAAAATAATGCTTCTGCTCTTTTTAAGCATTGTGCTTTAAGTCTGTTTTCAACACGACAAATGAAAGACAATAACGCACCCACAAGCCCTGAACTTCCATATGATTCTCCTCTCCCTGCGCACCCCCCAGCACACACACACAAAATCCAGACGGTTGACAGAGGACACGTCCATGCGGCACCTGTAATTTGCCAACTGATCACTCGCCTGAGCACAGCCAGGCTGTGTGAGGAGAGAAATGACGAGACGAAGAGACACTCAGAGCGAGTTTGTTTTCCCTCATCTGGGAGAACCTACAAGCTGGAGTCGCCAAAACCAGGGGCTCTTACCCTTGGGCAGAAATGGTCTAATGACGCAGAGTCAGCCTCTCCCCTTCCCTGAGGCCAGCACCTTCCCCTAGGCCACTAGTAGCCCAGCTCCTCATTTCCCAAACCCCAGGCCTGCCTACTGGTGAAGGAGTCCAGGGACAGGTGACTCCACAGACCTGGAGACAGATAACAGACAACAAGGTGGTCACCATGGCCCAAAGCTACAGGGCCAAGAGGGGTCTGGGCACTGACATAAGTCTGGGGCATGGTGCCCAGAGAGATAGCTGCTGTCCTAAAGGCCACATGCGCTGAATACCCACTCCCAGCCCCAGACACATCTGGCCAAGCTCACCAGAGGAAGATGCCCAAGTTTTCAGGCTCTTGGAGGGAGAGAAGGCTCAGAAGGACCATGAGAACCAGCAGAAGCTGACAGGGCCAGGAGATGTTGTTCCCTTGTTGGTAGCAGCAGCAGGGGCAGGCAGGGGTCCTCCCTGACATTCACTTTCTGCCCCCACCCTAACAACTTCACCTCCCAGTTGGGCTCTCCAGGGGACCCTCTCCTCAGGTGGAGTGGGGGAGCAAGAACAAGGGACACCGACCCCCTCTGTGGCACCCGTGACAAAAAGAAGGTGCCTGCATTCTCTGCATCCAGCCCTTGCCATCAAAGGAAAAGGCCAACGAAGACAGGTGTGAGGTGTCCCCCACCTCTGGTTCAAAAGCGCCAGGTTCCCACTGGGGAGGAAACATGGGGCAGACACGCGGCTCCAACTCTGCCGGGCAGGGGTCGCTGGCTGCCCCCTCACCGGACCTCAGGTTTCCCTCTCACCGGGACAGCGCAGGGGAATCCGCTGGCAAACTCGGAACCCCTCACCCTATCCCAAGGTCTTGCTCTTGCAGATCTTGCTCTGCCCCATTTGGGGGTTCGGGGGTGGGGGGAGAAGAGGCACCGCGGGGAAGTTTCGCGACGCAGCCAGAAGCACCGGGACCACGGCTGCCCGCCCTTTGGTTTTGGGGCCGTCACCCCCCGGTGCAGCCTGCAACTGGACCCAGAGCCCCCGGCGCGGGGCGCGGGGAGGGACTGGCGTGGGCCGGGGGGGCGGCGCGGAGGGGCGCGCAGGGCTCGGCCGGGGTCCCGCGGCTGGCCAAGGAGGCCACTTACGTGTGCTGCTGGGGAAAGCTGTAGGCAGAGGCGCCGGGGGTGGCTAGCAGCGGTAGCAGCAGCAGCGGCGGCAATAGCAGCAACAGCGGGCGCTGGGACCCGGACGGCGGGCGCCGCGCGCCGGGGCCGGGCCGGGGGCCGCGGCCGGGGCAGGGGAGCGCAATCCGCGCCGGGCCGGGCCGAGAGGCGCCGCAGGTCCGAGCCGGCACCGCCATGTTTCCATTCAAGATGCGGCGCCGCGGGGAGGGGGGGCGGCGGCGACGGGGTGGGGGGGGGGCGCGGGCGGCGGGCGGCAATCCGGCCTCTCCGCCTCCTCCGCCTTCGTCGCGCTGGGCCTCCGGGGCTGCACCGGCCGCAGCGCCTCTGCGGGCTGCGCGCCGCGATGTCTCCGCTGCGCTGACTCGAAGCACTCTGAGCGCCCGGCCCGGGACCGGCGCTCAAATAGCGGCCGCCGCCAACCTGCCGGCGCCGCCCTCCCCGGCCGGCCCGCCCCCGCGCGCCCCCGCCGCGGCCACGCGCCCGCCCGTGCCCACGCGCCCCTCGTCCCCGCGCGGCCCCGAGCCGGCTGTGCATGCCCGCGCGGCCGAGCGGAGCCTGTGCGCGCGCGTCCTGCGCCCCAGCCGCTGGCCGACCTCCCGGTGCGCACCTCTGCATCCCCCAGCCTCGGACCCCGTGCCCCTCTCTGCAGCACCCGTGGAAGAGTTCCCGGCCCCGCGGCCCCCGGCAGACACATTGATGACCCTTCTGGGGGCTCGACCTTCAACAGGCTTAAGGCCTGGAGTCACAGGTTTAATGGTGGAATGGCAGACTTCAGCCAGTCCAGAGAAGAGGGCAGCGGTGCTGAACTCACACCCCCAGTGGCTCCTGCTACCTGCAAGAGTCCTCTCGCAGGGGACTTGGGTGCCCACGCCCTGAGAGAAAGAAAGGGCCCGGATCTCCTGGATCCCTGAGCTCGAACCCAGGTCCAGTTTCACAGTTGTGAGGGGCTTTGAATGTCAGGATGCAGCTCTCTAAAGCCACTCATTTACTTCCCTGGCCTAAGCAGGCACAGTATGCAGGCCAGCCCCAAGCCCCAGCCCCTAAGGCTTCCAGAGCCTCTCTTTAGATTCCTCCAGTGCTGGGAAGCTCACTCCTGCACAATCCAATCATTTCTGGTCCTTAGGTGCCTGGCTCCTCCCTACTGCAGGGAGAAGGCTGGGGCTGGTGTGGCTTCTGATTCTGCAGCTTGTGGGCCTCTCAGGGCCTCAGTTTCCTCCCTTGTGAATGCTTGTGTGGATGCTTAACCCCATTTGTAGAATGAAGTGAGAATGGGAGTGAATTGCTTGGTAAATTGAAACACTCTTGGTTGGGAGAGAGCATCTGAGAGATTTCTCCTGAAGTTGCTCCTGGAACTCTGCCCCTCCCTCTGCACAGATAGGATGGGAGAATGCTTCCTGCCAGCCAGGCTTTGAGGCAAGCCCCTTTAGCAGTAACTGCTCACAGATTCTGTGCTTAAGATGAGGAATGGGGAACAGCAGCCACCTGGGTAAGAGCCCTCACTTCATAATATCTGGGTGAGCCTCTGATCACCCACTCACAAGTCAGCCTGAGGAGGACTTAATGTTGAGGAGCGAAGAACAGTGGCCGCTGGACTAAGGAGGTCAGAGGTCAGGGGCTGGAAATAAGGCTCAGGACAACACTTACTAGCTCCCCAGTCCTGCCTGAGCTGTCCCACACCTGCCCCACCCTCACAAGCCAGGGCTTGACAAGAGGACAGCTTTGAAGTTTCCCCCTCCCCTGACCTGAATGAGATTTGCCAACAGGCTCCACACTCTGAGGCCCCACAAATGTTATCAGGGGAAGGCAGTGCGCTAGGCCCCCAAGCCCCTGACAGGCCCGGGGCCTGGTGTACAGGAGGGGCATGGTGGACTCTAGGAAGCCAAGATAGGCCAGCCCTATGGGGACAAGAAGGGCTCTCACCGAACAAGATGCTTCATTGTGCCAGATGTCACCACCCCCATCTCTGGATAGGGCAGCCCCTCTAGGCTTGACAGAATAGGTTGGGGGGTAGGGGAGTTCCACACAGAAGAGTCAACAAGCCCTGAGCTAACCAGCCCCTCCCAGTCCCTCCTGCTGATACCCGTCTCCTGGATCTCTGTTTTCCCCATGTCCAGGGCAGGATGGGCCCATGGTGTCTTTCCCCATCTATTTGATGGATAAATGTCTGTGCATGGCTCCAGGGAACCAGCACAATGGGCATTAGCCTCCTGGGTGCCCTCTGGGGTTAGGTGGGAACCTTCCAAAGGCAGACTCTGCAGTGGCAGGATAGGAAATTTCAGAGACAGCCTCTCTGCCCTTTGACAGCAGCATGGCAGTACCATACCTGAAGAGTGTCCAAGCCATCAGGCACCTGTACCCAGGCTGGGGGCTGTAAGTGGGCATTGGTAGTTGGGCATTTGAGCTCCAGCTGCCACAGATGTGCACCTAATTGAGGCTGCTGGCGCAGAGGGAAAGGCGGGAGATTTTGGTTGACAGGCCGTTAAAGGAAGACAAATAAGGAAGGGAGGTAATTAAGAGTACACGGGCAGTAAGAGTTTACACACTCCAACTTCTGAGGCTCACAACATCCTCAGTCTCCTGGCGGCTGGCTCCAGCCACAGGTTAAAATCATGGGAGGAAAAATCAAATCTCCCCAGGAATAGGGAGACTTCCCTGGCAGGCACATTGATATGTTTGGCAGCAAAGGCCTAGGGCTACCCACCTGGCCAGAGGTGCCTGTGCTGGAAGTCATAGGGTGGCAGGGGTAGGTAAAACTGTAGGCTGCAGAGAGGGCCTAGCCGTACCTGACAGGTGCCAGTTCTGCATGCGGGCTGAGGGGAGGTCAGCTCAGCAGACCAGAAGAAACAGAGAGGTCTTTATGGAAATTTTCCTATGTGCCAAGCAATTCTAGGCTTGGTTATGCCACATAAGGGAGGAGAAAGGCCGTCAGGAATATCTGTGTCCAGGACACCTGGGGCAGCAAGATCCTCACTCTAGAATGCTCACCTCCAGCCTCCCTCTCATCACCCTTTGCCACTCCATTAGCCAGTGGCCTAGATAGCTGTCTTTTCTTAGAGCTTTCCTCCTATGGTTCCTTGCACTAGGAACACACTCCCTCATCCGTACCACTTGAACCCAGGGTATTAATGGACCCATAAATGCCACTTATGCCAAGAAGCCCTCTTGGGACCCACCTCAACTAGACAGGCCTCCCCATTCCATTCCCCACTCTCCTGTCACTGCTTCCCAATACACACACGCACACACACACACACACACACACACACACACACAGCCCACAGCCTCTGCCTTGGATCCAGGAAAATCCTTCATCCCAGACTCTTGTCAGGTTGGAACCCGAGTCTCCCTTGTCCCTGTCACTTCCTCAGGACCCCACACAGAGCCTGACCATTGGGAGAACACAAACTGTTGACATAAGGACCTCTGGGTGGCATATCCAGGAGCGTGGGGGTATGCCCAGGTGGAGTGGTCCAGTCTGGGCATAAGAAGTGAAAGCTTTGGCATCAGATATCACAGGTGACATAAGTAATTCACTTTGCCTCTTTTGCTTCTTTGTCCATATAATGGGAGACATAGTACCCACCTGGCAGGGGCAGTCTGAAGACCCAAAGCATGTAGCACCCCGATAGCAGGACTTAATGAAGGGAAAGCACAGAGAGACTCAGGCTTTCCCAGGAAGAGCAGGTCCTCCTTGCTGGTAGGCAGGGAAGACTTCCTAGAAAAGGAGGAGGGATTCCAGCTTGGCCTCACAAGATGAGCATGAATGGGGTGGGCACATTAGAGAGGGAAGGAAGGGAGACTTCCCAGAGCTGAGCATGACCTGAACCAGGACCCACCTTTCCGAGCCCCATTGACCCAGCCCTTCCTCTGCTTGTCCTTCTGTAACAGGAGTCTGTCTCTGCCTCATTTTAGCCCTCTCTGATGTGCCTATTCTTTGCCCCCTTTAGGCTGGAGTCAAAGGTCCCTAAGGGCCCCCAGCCAAGACACATTCCATGTATGGGCTGACTGCCAGTGCTTGCACCTGCCAGTGGCTACTTTGGCTCACTCACTAGCTCCTTGGGGACATCTAAGGATGAGATGGTCCCACAAATGCCTCTGCCTGAACATGGTGCAGATGCTGCATGGCCTCCAGGTACAATCAGACAGGGATCCCACTTCCAAAGGCATTAAGAATCCTTCAAGGATCCTCTGCACAGTAATGACCCCCAGTCTGTTTAGTGCCGTTTATTGTAATAAATGGAAGGGGCTGGAGTTTAATCCTTTCATGCAGTGTAAGCCATCACTGCCTGCACACCAAAGTCAGGGCCAAGTCCTAGGCTACAGACTATCGGGAGCCTGTAGGACCCCCTTGTTAGACAGAAGGGGAAACAGAGGCCCAGAGTTGGAAGGAGATTTGCCAGAGGCTACCCAATGATCACTGCAGATCGGGCATGGAGCTTCAAATCTGGAGACCTAGATTGTCATGCCAGATCTACCTCCCCAAGACTAAGAGTGACACTAGTCACCTGGGCCTTGGTGTCCCCATTATGGCCTCCAATATCAAGAACCCAGCAGAGCACTCCTGGGGAACCCAGGCCTCCTGGTCCTGCAGTGGAAGCTCCTGAAAGACCTCCATCATCACGAGGGACACTGAGCTCAGATTGTTTGACCGAAAGAGGACACTAGCTAATTGGATAGGTTCTGGCAGGTGTAGAGGCTTGATCTTGGCCCTTGGGACCTCTCCACTTAGTGGGGAAATATGACACAGGAAAAACACAAAGAATACCTCAAACCATGAATTATGTCCTGTGGGTGAAACAGAGCATGTGGTCACTCAGCAGTGTGAGGCTTGGGTAGTCAGGGAAGGCTTGCTGGAGGAAGGAGTCTTGAAACTGGCACAGAAGAACTGGGAGCACTTGGACAGATGAGGAGCTGGAGGTGGAGGGAAGGGCGTCCCTGGCAGAGCATCTGAGCAAAGGGCTGAGGCAGGATGGGGCCAGACTCTTACATGTTGCCATGAGGAGACTGTCTGCCCAGGCTCCAGCTTCTTTCTCGCTGGCCCTCTTCACTAGGAGGAGGCAGGAACCTCTCCCCACCAGGGGAGCTCCTGGCAGAGGCGGTGAGGCGGATGGCAGGATGGCATGCCCTCACAGGCGGCGTAGGGCAAACCTTGGCTCAGAGGTGACGATGAGCCAGG